ATCTACGTTATATTAAAATGCAGTTTTATCTACATCCTATACCATTTTAAATGTTATTTTTGTGTTTTAGTAATTTGTGCAATAAGCCTCCATACACGATCACACACACACCACACACACACACACACACACACACACACACACACACACACACACACACACACACACACACACACACACACACATGCATACAAACACATACAAACACATACAAACAAGCCAACAAAAACTCATGCACTGTCACCTTCATACATTCAGAATGAAGAAACAGGGGGCTGTAGTTTGAAAATTTTTTTCAAACTTTTTCAAGGGCACACCCACATTTCGCCATCAATATCTGTGTTAAGTACAAGTCAGTTATTCATTATGTATACACATTAAAAACAAACATACAGGCAAACAAACAAACAGACAGAGAGGCAGACAGACAAATAAATAAACAAACAAACCTGCAAACAACTTTCTATTAATCATGTATAAAATAAATCAAACGCTGGAGGGGATTGTACAACATATGTTATCACGTGATGCTGCTTTCTCATGCTCCCCTGCCTCCCTCTTTTTCTATCTTTGTGGCTCTCTCTCTCTCTTTCTCTCTTTGTATATATATATATATATATAAGTTTTCTATTGATATATATATATATATATATATATATATATATATATATATATATATATATATGATCAATTCAATATTGTTTTTACCTATGAATGAATACATAATTAGTTGTTTGGTATTTCATGCGACAAATGTTTTGTAGTAAAACATCTCTATGTGGGCACGAGTGTTATGAATTGTATGTGTGCATGAGGGTTGTAAATGTATGTGTGCCTGCAAGAGTGAATGTGTATGTTGGTATGTTGAATCAAAAAAAAAAACACACAACCTATAAATAGAGCACAGTGATGTAAAAAAATATTTACAATTCAAGTATGAAGTTTAGTCAAGAAATTGAAAAGATTAAATGAAAGAAGTTGTTTGTGTTGGGAAGAATTGTTTTAAATGAATAAACGTTAATAACGGTATAAAAATGCTGAGATAAATTTTGTTAGCTGAACCGAATGTCTGACACGTGATTGTTATTCAAAATGTAATTTATCAACACCTCATTATCAATCCATCTCACCTCTCAGTTTCAAGAAGATTTGAACAAATTTAAAATCAAATTTAATTTAATAAAATGGAATGTAAATAAAAATTATTTGATTGATATCTTAAAAAATTGATCATACAAATTAAAAACATGAAAGTTTATTAAAATAAAAGGTTATTCATAATATACTGATTGATTTTTCCTGTAAATTTTTAAATTTTGTTGGTTTATAAATATTTTCATCCCAACCACTGAACTGACTGACGAGCATCTACAAAAAAATGACATTTCTGACATTTTCTTTTCTGCTACTTCACTCAATATCTTACGTTTCTTGCATTTCTGGCATAAGCCAAAAATATGAATCATTGAAAACAGCAAATGAATATAAACAAACAAGCAAACACACAAACAAACTGACAAACAAACAGACGGACAAACAGACAGACTGACTGACTGACTGACTGACTAACTAACTAACAAACAAACAAACAAACAAACAAACAAACAAACAAACAAACAAACAAACAAACAAACAAACAAACAAACAAACAAACAAACAAACAAACAAACAAACAAACAAACAAACAAACAAACAAACAAACAAACAAACAAACAAACAAACAAACAAACAAACAACGAACGAACTAACCAAAAAAAATAAAGCGTAAAGTTTAATTTTAAATAGTTTTGCGTAAAGAAAAAGAAATTGTTTGGTGTTTGTTCGTTGTATCACCGGATCTAAAGATCCGGTGATACAACATTTATTTTATAATAAACCTGTCTTGTCAGTGGTTCTAATTCTTGAAAAAATGTGCTCTGAAAATTTTTAGCAACTAAATCCATTTTTAAATCATTTTAAATCACTACGGAATCATTTCAAATAAACAAAACATCCATATAATTCACAATTTAAACGTTAAAATCAAATTTCAGGTCAGAAAATGGTAGAAGGTCATCATCATCTGAAGCATCATCATCATTGTTAACATCGTTGTCGACATCATCACCGCCCACAGCAACCAACTTCATCATTCAATTATGTACATTTAGCTCTTTCTGTAGATTATAAAGTTATCAGTTGCTACAGTGAGAAACTTCCTCGCCGTTGAAACCGTCACGTCATCTTCGTCGTCGTCATCACGTCCTCTTCGCGGCAATCCAGTCATCGTCGTCAACATCGTCATCATCGTCGTCATCACATCGTCGTCATCCTCATCATTTTGGAGAACTTGAAAACTTTGCCTCCCACACGTGAAAAAGTTGCAGGTGTTGTGAAACTTCCATTAATTTTTTCAATTTCTAAAGAGCGGATAACAGGCATGTCATGAATGAAGTGATTTTTGGGATGAAGTGATTTTCATTATCGCATCATCGTCTTCCTCGTCATAATATTCTATCATTTCGTCATTGGATCATCTAACCCTGCATCATCATCTTAATCATCATCATCTCAGTCAGAAGTTCAATCAATTCAGATTATTTTGTTTTTGAATTTCTCACTACATTCCAGTTTCTATCCTCAAACAATTTTTGAATCAAAAATACCTGGAGTACAAAGTACAAAGTAATACACCGGTACGTAGGCATCGAAGCAGGTGTCTACTTAAATGCAAAAAACGTAATCAAGCATTTCAAAACATAAACAAACATACACAAACATACACAGACAAACACAGTCAAACACACAATTACATAGAAATACCAGGTTGCTTCACGCATCTCAGCCATATAAGACAGGGCTGTCATATTCTATTTTTCAAGTATGTTGGAGCAATATTCACTGCATGTTTAAGATCTACAGTGTGCTGTACCATCAATTTATTTTTGCAAAGTAAAATTGATTTCTTGAAAAATGTGAAATAATACAGAGTTGGAATTTTTATAAACGTTGTATAGTGAAAACTGAATTGAAAATAGCTGATAATTTGACAGTTGTAAACAAAAATTGAAAATATGAAATGGATTAAAAATGATGATAACTTGAAGTGTAAACAGTAATCATTGAATGAAATAATTCATTTTTTGTTCAATGCAAGAGTTTCCAGTTATAAAAAGTTGATCAATATTCACCGCTAAGTTGGCATTGAAGCAATTCTAGAAACATAAACAAAAAAAACTTCCAACATTAAAACTAAAGAGACAAAAAAATAACGTTAAAAGCAACTCCAACCAAAGCAATAACACAAACTCCAGGAAAACATCAGCATATTATTTTACAGCGTCATTGCTTTTACGACGCTCATTTTTTAGACAAATCAACAAAACGAACACAACAACAAGCACAACAACAACGAACCAAACAACAACAAACTCGACCAAAACAATAACGACAGCAGCAACACAAAATGCCACACATTCGATCAGTGAACCACCACTACCGATCCCACGGCCACCACACCCACCACAGCAGTCATCTCCACAGCATCCACAACAACAATGTTCCCTACAAGATACTTTCCACATCGACCACAACAACGACAACAGCGGCACTACTACCACTACAGCAGCACGTAGATGATGATAGTTATGAAGATGACCTCGATGACGGGCCAAGTAACAATGGTAGTTTTTTATTTACAATATTTCTTATTTTTGCAGTTAATTTAAAAAATTTTTTAAATAAATATTTCAATTGTTAATAACTGACTATAAAAAGTCATGAGATGAACGAGAACTGCAATCGTAGCTAGCTCTCTTACAGGGCATAGAAACAAGATGATGAACACCTGACGCGGAGAATAAATATTTTCATAGTATCAATTATATCGACACCTGTCATGATGGCGTCACTATTGACTGACAGACTGACTCACATATCACATCATCAGCATCCTTGTTTGCGTGTTCACATGTTTGTTTGTTCATCGAAAACATCACGACGTCATTAATTAATTTGGAATAAAATATGAAGAAAGGAATTTTTTCCATTAAAATATACAAAGTACTATAATTTGGTTTACGTAATTAATTTTGCATTGTAAATGTACTGCTACTGTTAGCCATTTTGCTATTCTTTAATTCAGAAGAATCGCAAATATTTATTCACATAGGTAGTGAAACATGCAAAATATTTTCACAAAAAGTAAGCAGTTGTAAAATTTCAGCCAAAATTTGAAATTCATCAACTATTCAAACTAAAAAAAGATTATTCATTAAATCTTGTAAAATTTACAAATAATTTATTTAAAATACAATCTGTTTATAAATGTTGTTTACAAATAATTTATTATAAATCTTTATGAACAATAAAGTATCAATTTCGTTGAACGTAATTCTATTAATTTTCATCGTAGTACATTCACACATTCACACTTTTATAAGGATCATTTTTTAAAATAACTATCACCGTATCATCATAGCATGACCTCATTTCCATCAGGCTATCACATTGTCCTGGCAGTACCGCAATAGTACTTTTAGCTTACCAGAAGTTCCGTACCTTCACATTGCCATTATCTTAACTTGAGCTCTCTAAATTATTACCACATATATACCACATTAGTATATCATCACATCATTAACACACTACCACCACACCACCACACCACCACTACCACATGATGCTACTAGCATACCAGGAGCTGGCCAGTTCGACCCTGACCTACATGGTTCCTTCCACAGACAGGCACCAACTCTTAAATAACCCGCCCACCAAACAAAATCCCATGATGTCCATGGCGGTTAGATGATGATGATGATGGAGATGAGGGTGATGCGGGTAGTGATGGTGGTGGTGGCGGTGGTTATGATGGTAGTGGGGATGATGATGGTAGTGGGGATGAAGAAGGTGGTGATGATGATAATGGTGGTGGGGAAGGTAATAATGATGATGATGATGATGGTGATAATGGCGACGATAGTGATGTTAATGATGATGATGAGGAAGATGAAAAGGATGATGGGAATGATGATGATGGATATAGAGATGATGAAGATGGAAAAAGAGATGATGATGATGATGATGCGTATATCAAACTGCAATGGTAATGTCTAATAGTAATAATAATAACAATGTATTGATGATAATAAAATATCGTTGATATTACTAATGCTCGTATTATTGACGATGACGATGACAATGATGTATGATGATATACTCATAATGATACAATCGTAATGATATAGCCATAATGATACAACCATTAACAATGTTAATCATCATTGTGATGATTTTTTAAGACAGTGATGATATTATGATATAACTGACTCAGATAAAAATAATGCTAAAATGATTAATATCAGAAATTTTTCTTGGAGAATGAATTTGTCATTTTATGGTTTAGTAATGCTAAATGATGTGATGGTGGTGTTAAAGATAATGATTGAAATGATGATATAGGTGGTGATTATCGCTCTGCAAATAGATGTGGTGATGACTAATGATGATGAATGATGATGACACCGACAACAATTAGGTAGACGGTTAAGATGATTATATTAATGGTGTTGATGATGTAAGGAACATTGATGGTGATGAAAATGATGATGATGATAATGTAGAAAATACTGATGATGATGAAGAAAGTTTAATGATGATGGTGAGGAGGTATTGATGATGATGTAGTAGAAAGTATTGATGAAAATCATGATGTAGGAAGTATTAATGGTAATGATGAAGAAGAAGAAGAAGATGATGATGATAATAATGATGATGATGATAATAATAATAATAATATGATGATGATGATGATAAAGGAAGTAATGATAATGATGATGGAAGTTGCAAAGGAAGTTTGATGGATGCACAATAGATGTAATTAAGCAAACAATTAGTCAACCTCATACAACAATCAATCAATCTATCTATCCATCTAATGATTAAACGATATCACTATCATCACCGTCGAACATCATCATCACCATCGTTATCATCGTCATCATCATTATCTTTACAACAGAACCTCAACTTTCAAAAACCACATTACCATGATCATTAATTAATTAAACATTATTGTCACAAATAGACCCAATTTATTCAATCCTCATTAACACAGTTAAACATCATCATCACCCTCATCATCATCATAACCATCACCACCACCATCATAATCATCGTCGTCATCATCATCATCATCGTCGTCATCATCATTACCATCATTATCATCACCACCACCAACATCATCATTATCAACATTATCATCACCACCATTATCATCGTCATCATCATTCTTACAGTCACAATCAACATAATCATCAACGTCATATAT